CTTAATAAACGTGATAATCTCAGCCTATAACCGCCGAGAATTTACCTCCGATTAAGCTCGAGTGACAACACTCCTCGGATTCCCGTGCTCGGCCGTGACCTTCCGCTTGCGTGTTGCCGTGTGGTGCGTGTGCTCTCGGTGCGACTAGCCGTGTGTGTATGTAGGTACTATTTTGGGAAGAACTCTTGCACTCTCACAACTCTCACTATGCTGAACTATGTAGAGTACATACGGCTGAACTTATATCATGAACATATATGGAGAATGAAGTGGGAAAATTTCCACCAACCATCACTTATATATATATCACCGATTGGAAAAAAATGCTAGGATAATGAGTGATTTAGGTGGCTTAAGGAGTTAAAACACATGTCCTAATCTAAGACATATTAGGATGACTAATCACCACCTTAATTTTACATAAGGCCACGTATAAATGATGAAGAGTAAGGAACAATTTCTTAATTTCCCACTCAAATTACTTACGACCTTAAGAATTAAATGGCAATATGGTACGGCTTTTGGGAAAATTGAACATGATTGAATGCTTAATATGTGATTAACTACTAATTAATCACCTCTTTTATATTTAATCTTTAATTAAATATAATGCTTAATTACTGAAATTATTCCGGACGTAAACGGTACGTCGAAAATAATTTTCGGTAATCTCGACTGAAATGACTGAAATAATTTAATTCCGGAAATAATACCCGAAAATATTATTATTCCGGAACTAAAAACATGACTGGATACTCCTGACTAAATATTTAATTCCGGACTCATTAATTAAATAAACGAATCGGAATTAAATCTGAAAACTTATTCGGTTATTTAAATAATTAAACCGAATAATTTATCGACTAATAGTCGAACTTGGAATATGACTAACTGATTGACTTGAACTTGAACATGAACATGATTATTTATTAACAAAGGCTAGCTTAAAACTAAAAGCTAGTATTTTCCTTTATTAATAAAATACGGGGCGTTACAAAGAATCTTGTAAAATCAATATAAAATCGAGTTTGTTGAATTGTGATGTGAAATTATGTGGAATGTGTTATTCTATTAACATGCTGGTTGTGTAAAAAATTTGAATTAAAAAATCGGAGGTTTGACTGGGGAACTAGAATTTTCACTCTACGACTGTATTTTTTGAAAATTATTTGACTGGACTGATATCTGGTATATGTGTGTATTTATGGGTGTTCTATATTGTGGTAAAGTTTTGTTGAAAATGACCAAGTACTTTTCAAAATGATTCGGTAGTAATCAATTCTAGTCTATTTTCTCGGCAGCACCCAACCGAGCCTTGTTTTGGTTATTTATCTGACTTGTTTGATCACCTAGTGATCCATCACCATGTTTATCTTGATATATGTGTTCTAAGTGATGCTTATTTGGTATTAATTCTAGGCGGATAAGCCATGGGTTCCAAACTCCTTTAGGAATTTCCACGAATCACTTGATTGATACAGTTTTGGCTAAGTGAATGTTATTGTATTTTTTTCTAAGTGTTGGGATAGTCATTGATAGAACTATCATGGTTATGTAGGTGTTTTAGGAGTCGAGCCTTCGACCTATGTACTTACTTTGTGTGTGATTCTACACTTCGGTATCCAGGTGGGTTTTATTTAAATTGTTATGCCGTAAATTGTTTTTGTGTTGTTGGGTTGGTATGATCAATGTATGCATGTGAACCACATAACCTTCGATGTGAGCTGGATGTTCTTTGAACGGTTTTCTCCGTCGATGTGAGCTGTATGTCCTTCGATGGTGCCCTTGTGAGGAATCTCCCTAAGTCCTGATATGGCCGTACCCTTGTGAGGTACGTAAGTCCCCATAAAAGGCCATGCTGTTGAGAGTTGTATGTCCTTCGGTATGCACTCTGTAACGTCCCGTTTGATTATGAATTATTGGAGATTATTTGTTATTATTATTATTATTATTATTATTATTATTATTGTTATTATTATTGTTCTTTTTGCTTATTTGTCTAAATTGATTGGTATTATTATTATTATTATTATTATTATTATTATTATTATTATTATTATTATTATTATTATTATTATTATTATTATTATTGTTCTTTTTGCTTAATTGTCTAAATTGATTGGTATTGTTATTAGTATTAATATTTATATTAAATGTCTAAATTGCCTAATAGTTATTATGTGTTTAAATATTTATTATTAATAAATGTTATTTGTTTGTATTGTATATATTTATGTTATCGATCGTTCGCCGACCTTCGCGAATTAATTAATTGTCGAACCAAATTGATAACCGAGCCCGCGAGCCCTGACCGCTCCGAACCCGACATTCTTTTCCCTTAGATTGTTGGGAAGGTTTAACCTAGGCTATTATGTATGTATGTATGTATATAACTGCCACTGCTTTAAAAGGGAGTGTCTATATGTACACCCCCTTGTGTGTAAAAAAGGGGTGTACATATAGCATTGCCCTTTGTGTATTTTATTAAAAAGGGGTGTACATATAGCATTGCCCCTTTAAAAATTAACATTGTTGACATTAAATTTCTTTTTATAGCTTTTGTCAGTTTGTCTTGGGCATTAAGTTTTACAGACTTTGAAATGACTTTGAAAATGACTGGCAATCACTTCCTATAGACGACACACTCAACAATGACTCGGTCAAAAAGCAACAAAACAAAGGCTATTACTTCTCTCTACCAAAAACCATCTCTCTCCCCCGACTCTCCACGCTCTCTCTATACTAAAGATCTCTCCGGTGATATAAACCTACCCACCGACCTCGTGCAGCCGCAACCATGGGATAGCGCCGCCAGAAGCGCCACAACACAACATTGGAGAAGTGCCTCCCCGGTGACCCCACATCCAAGCCACTGTCCAATTACTTCTCCGCCCCCAAGCTCTTCCGGAAGAGCAGAGTCTCCTAATGAAATCGCCGCCTCACCCCGGCAGTTCCACCGCCGTGAAGCACGTGGTCTTTGGCGCGAACGACAGAACTTTGTGGTTAGCAGATCCTGCTAAATATTTTATTTTATGTTTCCAATTTGTAATGAAATTTGATAAATTGCATTGCAGTTGAGCATAGATTGTAAGCACTCTTAGGCTAAATAAGCATTGAATCGTATTTAGGGTGATTTCCATCGCTGCGAGTGGCAAACACTGTGCGGTGCAAGGTTGAAGACCGGTGATTGGAGTTCACAGTACGAAACGAGAAGATATTTTCTCACAAAACACCATAATCATTCTCAAGTTTAAGACCCAATCCCAATAGCCGCAAGCCGTAAAATTTCTATCATTTTCTCCAACTCAAACAACTAGACCTCTGTATAACAATTTCTGATTTATTTCTATGTATTTCTTTTTTTGTTTAACGGTTTGTATATTGCTTCTGAATTAGGGCTTTTTCTTTGAGAAGAAAAGCGTCATATGGTGGACAAGAAACAAGGTAACTGTCTCTTTGTCGTCGGTTCTTGCAAAGAAATTCAATTCGAACTCTTTTGTTGTGTCAATATTTGGCTCTATGGATAAGATATAAGGAATGTAATTAATGTTTCTATTTGCACAAAATACATTTCTTTGCTGGAATTGAAGACCAGTATTTGGATGTCTGGAGGACCCCTTGTGCTTTACCCCTTTTTCTTTTATCCCATGATAAGTTGTCTTTATTCTGATTTGTCCTCCACAATATTGTTCATTTTGTGCTAGATTTATTGTGATTAAGAGCTTTGAAGCAAATTCAATGAGAACCTTCTATTTGTTTATAAATATGTTCACCAGCTTGTTGCTTTTTATTTCAATTTCCATTTTCCTTAATCTCCGAAAAGGGTAACTTAGATGATCTGTAATTTTTGTAAATGATTATTTATGGGTGATGTTGGCTCGTGCTTTTCTGTTTTATAGGCCTGGACGATATTTATTTCTGGTTTGCTAGAGAATGTGAGAGAGAGGGAGCGAATCTATTGAGGTGGCTGCCGAGATACAAGGTGTCAGAGGTGAACTTCCAGGGTCAGCAACAATCAGATGTTTTTCACCTTGAATAACAGCTTATGAGTTGTTTCAGGCTTCAGATTGGTTTTACAGGTCTTACAAATTCTTAAAAAGTGTTTCTTGTTATATTTTTTCCACAGAAAAATAGTTTATGTGTTTTTTATTGAAAAAATATGTTATAAAATCGACAGTTTGTATAGAGAGCTGAAATCAAAAGTGGCAGCTTTTTCAGTTCTACAAGGTGGCTTTTGGAGTGTAGAATTTGAGCCGCGTAAAGCATCCTAAGAGAATGGCGTGGGGCAGGAGATCCTTCCGGTTCTCTCACCTGTGCTCAAGCTTGCAGCCTCTGCTATTGTTGTCTCTGACCTCACAGATGAGACATCTGCTCAGTAAGTATACAAATTTTTCATTTCTTATATTTCTGCTTGTTTTTGTCTCTGATTGCTTGTTAAGACTTCGAGTTTTAAGGGTTTTGGCCTTCTCGCTTAGACTATTGTTAGTATTTTGCTCACATCTGAGATTTCGGTCTTTATTTTGTGCTCTATCAAATTTTAAGGTAATAGCCATTATTTATATGTTAAGTTTGTGAAAATGCTCAGAATAGCTATGGCTGGGATTCGATGATTGTATAGATAAATTGTTAGGGGATGTCCATTGTTCTTTGAATTGTTGGTACTTATGTAATAATATTTGGTTTAATATTCTGTTTACTCTGATTGAGGTCTTGGTTAGGTCGCCGAAATGAGAATGGGAAGCCGATACGGTGGACGTGGATTTGTACAATCACTATCTGCACAGGGATTTCATGATCGAGGTGGATGTTTCGGAAGGAGCTTGTGGACAAAATTTTGGGTGACTTCGATCCATGACTGAATGTTCGCCTCTTACAACCGCCTTTCGCTTCGGTCGCCAAACATCTGCCTGACGATGGTTTAGCATAACAACAAAATCTCTCCCTCTTTCTACTTTGAAGACCTAATATTTGGCTGCTAAAATTTCGTGCACCTTACATCCATGGACCATGGCCGGCGACGTCCGTTCGCCTCTTATTACGGCCTTCCACTTTCGTTGCGTCTGCCGGATGGCGAGCCGAGGCATGCGATTTTAGCGTTGCGCATTGGCTTCTTCTTTTCTTTCAGTGCTACAGGGAATTATACTATGTGTGTAAATTTTCCTAAATTAAATGATTCATATTTGGGCTTTGCTTTAGTGGTTATGAGATTACAAAACAAAAGCCCAGTCCTTCATAACCTCAGCTGGTTTCCGTTTTCGCTCTCACACTAATCAGAAATCAGACAATGGCAGAAGAGTCGTTGCGTGGCAGCCTGAAGCGCTCCTTTGTCAACGACGACGAAACAAACAAACCGCCGCCGTAAATCTCTCTTTCCCCCTTTTTGCTGATGTTTGCAATCATATGCATATGCATATCCATGTCTCGATTAGTTGCTTATAACTTTTGCGTCCAGGTTTGTGAATTTGGCGACAGTTTATATGCTTACCTGTTAGGGCTTATGCAATTTACATGTATTGAGCCGCCTTTAAGCATCAGCAGCTGCACAATAATTTTAGATTTGTAGTTAGTGGTTCCACGAATCAAATTTGCTTGCCCAGCTTATTGAGCAAATTTAGGAGACATTTTGATAATTGAGAAGTGGAAATGGAATTAATTAGATGATAGCAGAATATGGTTTGGATGTTTCAGCAGTGAACTAATTTTTCTTGTGTTTTGTGTGTAAGTCCATGTGTCTACATACACAGGGAGAAAAGGGTGAGGTTTCCAAAAGGTAAGAAAATAAAAGGGGGAGATTTTGTGAGAGATGAAAGTGGTGAAGATATCCCTAAATTTAAGGATCCTAAGTCTGCAGCCAGTGATCGGGCTGTTCGTCACAGTAGGAATACAACAGAACTTTTATTGATGAAAACAATGATTTTGTACCCGACATAAAAAGAGCAGAAGTCCAGTACAAGGTATAGTTGATTACTGGTTACTTTTTTATTTTGTTTTTTGATGGTCCTATTATTATGTACTCGATAAAGTGTTTTCTTTGGATAACTTTCTGTTTTTAACTATTAGGCAATTGATTGTCTGTTCCCTTTAGTTAGATTAATAGGATAAATGATAGGGAAGTGAATGTTTCGCATAACAATGAACCTTTCGTTGAAGAGGGTTTTGCACTGAAACCATTTAACCTGGACAAGGAGAGAGAAGAAGGGTACTTTGATGAAAACAGGAATTATGTCAAATACTTAAGCTAGAATGACATCAAGGTAGTGAAAATTGTATATAATATGATTGTCTTGGTAAGTTTGTTGGACTTACGTGTTTCATTTGCAGGACGCGTGGCTGTGTGTTGATGTTTATAAAAAGTTTGATGGAAAGAGCTCGATTTCCACGAGTAATAATGAGCCACGCGATCTTGTTACCGACGAGCTTGCAGAAATCAACAGGCGGATTGCTGATGTTCTTGAGCCTGGGGAGACGGTGAGCTTTGAGTCATGTGCTTGTTCTGAACTATCTACATAAGATTTTTCCTTTTCTCTTTTTTTTTTTGGGTGGATTGTAGATACTTAGAATCTGATTTTATGTTGATGTTTGCTATTATTCCCATCCGTTCTTCCCATCATGAGATATCTATGGTGCTCAATTGTGTTGTGTGACCCCTGTATTTATGCATTATCCATTGCTTTTTTATATAAAACTTTTATTAAATGACTGGTGGGGATACTATTTTTATGTAAAGCAATGTTATTAATGGCGGTTGCATCCTTCACAAATTTAGCATGGCGGATTATAAAAAAACCGCCATGGCCGCCATTTGACAACACTGACGTAATGAATTACCTGAATAATGTCGATATTTGTATTGAAATTCTTCTAGATCATATTTATGCATTACCCATTGCTTTTTCATATAAAGTGTTTATTTAATGACTGGCACACACTCTTTTTATGTAATGGCAAATACATAAATAATGTTGATATTTGTATTGATGTTCTTCTAGGATCTTATTTCCTACTTTTTTCATAGGTTTTGCGAGCTTTGAGGAGGTTAAAGGGTTCTACTGATAAGAAGCAAAAAATGTCTGCTCAAACTAAACGGCAATTTGATCAGCTAACTGAAGATGCCATGAAATTGATGGAAAATGGAGATTACAGTTAAGTTTGTTCTTTTTCTGTTTAAAGTGAATCTTAGTAGTGATATATATTGCTTGATATTCACTCACTATTTTTGGTTCCTTATGCTTACAGATGTGTACGAGGAAAAACGAGAACATTTTGAGCGAGAAGCAGGTGTGTTCTGTTGCCTAGATTTTTCCATCAATGTTTCTAATTAGATTTCTTTGACATTCAATGATATGATTGCATCTGGTTCAAATATTATTGACTATTTCTCAGTTTTATTATGACCTTATTAATAAAGTTACTTCCCTTTCGTCTACACTACGTAATACGGATTACCATTTACCTATACTTCGTACCCATTTATAATGCAACTCTCTGAATCTTTTTTGTATTGTTCTTCTCCATTTATAATTCCTATTTCTCAGCTTTATTATGACCTTATTAATGGAGTCACTTTTCTTTTGTGTGCACCACGTAATGTTGATCCGTACGCTAGATTTTTTAGGGGTTTAACTACGGTGCAGAATTTAAGTGATTGTCGTATAGTTTTGTGCTCTGTCCCTGGTATGGATCAAAGGACATATAATCAGCCTACTGAATCTGAGGTGGCTGCTTTATGGGTGGATGGCAGTGGTAGTGAAGAGCCCTGTAAGCGCGATATTCATGTTAACTGTGCTGGTGGGACCTCTCATAGGATACAGTATTATTTTGGCTGCTATGACCCATTGCAGTATCCGTTGATGTTCCCTTTTATGGGTTTGTCGCATGATAACCGATGGTTAACTCGTCAGGCTCATCATCTGAAGAATGCAGGGAATAGTTAATATTCATAATACTAAGGATGGCAGTGGCAGTGAAGAGCCCTGTAAGCGCGATATTCGTGTTAACTGTGCTTGTGGGACCTCTCATAGGATACATTATTATTTTGGTTGCTATGACCCATTGCAATATCCGTTGATGTTCCCTTTTGCTATGACCCATTGCAGTATCTGTTGATGTTCCCTTTATGGAAATTTGAAATGACATGTGCAGTTTTTTTTTTTTTTTCATTTACATGAAGTCTTTTTGGGTTCATTAATTGTTTAATTGGAATTTTTATGCCTTACTATTGTCCAATAATTGTTAGATCCATAAGCTCAAAATATTTATATATTTAAATATTTGATCTTTGACTCCTTTAGATCTTAATTTCCTTGATGTGTTATCCTCTAGCACCATCCAATATGCAAGATCAACATAGTAATTGTGTTATTTACCATTTTGGAACATAATAATGAAAACTTCTCCCATTCCTAATGCTTAAATTTCATTAATGTTTAGGATCGCTATGAAGTATGTATTTCTAAAATATATTCCAGCTTTGTTAAATTACATGATTTTCTTAGAGATATAACGACATTGGTTAGAGCTTGAATAATTATTTGCTTGGTTTTCGTATGCATCTTGAAATCAGAATTTGTATTTAATTTTTTGTTAACAAAGGCGATCTTCAAGTTTTATGTCCTAAGACAAGCTTTTGGATTATATGGATTGGTTACATGATAAAATCTACTCCCAAACGTCATAATTGCCTTTTATTTTAAGTCAAAATGTTGATAATCGTCTAATGTTGACTTCCTAAATTATTTTGTTGTTTTTCCCTTTGCTTTGCTTTCCCTTAGTAATTTTAGGTATAGACATGTTGCAATTGATTGAATCAAATAGCTGCTTTTGGATTGCATTTATTAATTGGCTTATCTTTATGGTGACTGAATGGTTAGTATTTGCAATCTTTCACGAATTTAATTATTTTATCAGAGGGAACAGAAGCCCCAACTGCAGCATCTGAAAGGTTGAGTTTCGATTGCTTTTATGACACTACATTCAGGAACTAAAGTACTCATTCTCGAGAAGCATAATTCTCATGCTTTATCTTACTATGTTGAGACCTGAATATCCGTTGTTCGATATAATAAAGTTATTTAGGTTGTCATGTTTGGTTTTATGCATCCAGGGCGACTTGTATGTTTTTATTTTATTTTTATTTTTTTATTTTTTAGCATTTTTATGGGAGAAAAGGTAAGCATTATTCATTCAGTTATAAAAATGTTTGACTTTCCATTCTTAATTAAAAAATTATACTTGAATGTGTTGAATTCCCTATTTCAAATTTCTTACTTCCCACCAATTTCTAGCTACTATCAATGCCATACTTCGTGTTTTCTTTTGTTATTGTATATGTAGTTGCACCATCCCTGTTGAGTTGCAATATTAATTGCCACTGTTATTGCTTGAAAACATGAAGACCACACTCCATTTATTGGACCCAAAAAAAAAATTATGCAAGTTCTATCAAAAGCAAGAATGGGCCGTTTAGATGTCATACAGTTAATATTTGAAGTTCTTATGCAATCATTGTCATCTTATTTAGGCGATATGAATGATCCGGAAAATAATGTAATTGGTGCATTTGTTGGTAATTAAATTTCTCGTAGCCTTATGTGGATTTTGTTTACATGCCTTTTTTTTTTTTATTTTTTTTTCTTTCATGTTCAGCTTTTCAGTGAGTAGATGAACGAATGAATAAGAGATTTTGTGTTACTTTCTTATGAGTTTGTGCTTTAGTGCTTTTAGCTCATTATTTATGTTAATAAGCTTCAATTGTGGAGCAAATTTAAGCTCCATTAGACTAAATTTGACCCAGTTGTGCGTGGACATGAGCCTAATTGACAATTTTTCATTGTGTTTTTAGACTAAATTTGAGTCGGCCGTACGTGCACGGCGTGACCACAAGGGAAGATTTTGTCATTTAGTTGGCCGCAATCCATATTTTAAATGGTTGTGCAACGGCTATAAAGGTGAGAGATGAACCGTTGTTTTGTTACACTGCAATATGCGCCGCCCGATCTGCCGAGAATGCCGCTATTGCCTCCTTGTGCCACTAATTAGAAAATGAAGGCTTTATACCTTCGAGCAACTCCCTATTTCAAGTTTCTTATTTTAATGCTTTTATTCCTCAATTAACAAAAATATACATGAATGAACTTTTGTTGAATTCATGTTGAAACGCATGTTCATCCAATGCTTTTCCACACCTCAAAGGTTTATGAATCAGTAGACAAAATCGTAAATAGATAACTTTGACCACGATTCCAGTTTGGGGATGCATGCGCACATACACTGATTTAAACAACCTCGCAACTCATCAATAGACAAAATTTATTCTCATCTCTTAGTAAATTACAGTGTAAATTTATAAACATGTAAATCTTGAACACAAGTAGTCTTCTTTACTGCAAGTGAACTGGGGAAATATTTATGTCAGTGGTCACATTCATACATTTGATAATTGACACATGTATAATAATAATATTAGACAAATGGCATTAATATAATGGACTAAAACATGAACTGTAAGAAATATTGGAACAAGAGTGAACCCAAAATATTAAAGGTCTTCTACAAAATGAAGCTCCGACGTGGAAGAAAAACAACAAACAAGATAGAGGGCATACATGACCTAGGCAATTATATTTTGGAGACGTACCTACGTTTACTTACATCAATTGAAAATAGCCACAGGAGTAGCACACTTGACAATTGTGAGATAGATAAAAAAAAATCATGAGTATTATGTTTATGAATCAATAGACAAAATCGTAAGCAGATAACTTGACCACGCTCGTGCTGACTTTCAGAAAAATAGTTCCATAAAAATAAAATAAAACACAATATATGTGAACAACTGTAACATACGAAGCTGCAACAACTTATGACAAATTTTTACTGTATTTGTGTGGTAGAACTTAAAACTTTCTGTTGTATATTTATGTTATATCCAGCCTGTTATGGAAAGAGTCATCAAGTACACATTCCAAGAACAAAAATATACAAAAACCAGAACAATCACAAAAGGGGCATCAAGAAAAATTGAAACTAAACATTATGAGTAAATAAATTTTCACCAGAAATCACAGAAACAAGAAGGCACTCACATTTCCTCAGAAACTCCTTGCGAAAATGGTCTTTGAATTTAAGGCTTCTCGCAATGTACTCAAGAAATGAGAGTGGAGTAACAGGGTTCATCCTCCATTGAAGGGTAGAAAGA